TTACAGAGGAAGCAAGAGAATACCGCTGGGATGTAGACTGCCAGAATGCCTTTGAAACCTTAAAAAAGCATTTAATCACAGCACCAATTTTAGGGTATCCACTGCCAGAAGGAGAGTTCATCTTAGATACAGATGCAAGTAATGTGGGAATTGGAGGAGTGCTGTCTCAGATTCAAGGAGGACAGGAAAGAGTCCTTGGATATTTTAGTAAAGTTCTCTCAAAACCTGAGCGAAATTATTGCGTCACGAGAAGAGAACTTCTGGCAGTAGTGAAATCAGTAGAGCACTTCTATCAATACCTCTATGGAAGAAAGTTTTTAATCCGAACCGACCATGCCGCCCTTAAGTGGTTGATGCAGTTTAAGAATCCAGAGGGTCAGATAGCCAGGTGGATCGAACGACTCCAAGAATATGATTTTAAGATTGAGCACCGGGCCGGAGTTAGCCACCGAAACGCTGATTCTCTTTCCAGAAGGCCATGCCCAGCAGAGTGTTCCCACTGCAACAAAACGGAATCCAAGGAAGCAGCAGTGCTAAGAACGACGGTGATCAACGACGGCTGGACGCCTACCAAGATCAGGGAAGAACAAGAGAGAGATCCAGTTATACAGAAAATCCGAAAATGGAAAGAGGAAAACCGTCGACCACCTTGGCAAGAAATATCGAACCTAGGCTCAGTAGTTAAGACATATTGGGCCCAGTGGGACTCATTTATTATGGAAGATGGCTTGCTCAAACGAGTCCTGGAAAATGATGACGGTTCAGAGAAGAGAAGACAGTTGGTGATTCCAAAGAGCAGAACAGCCGAAGTACTTCGTCAGTTACACGACAGTCCATCAGGAGGGCATTTTGGTGTAAAGAAGACCCTTCAGCGAATTCGGGAACGGTTTTATTGGATGAACAGTTCCGACGATGTAAAAGACTGGTGTAAGAAATGTACTATTTGTGCTACGAGTAACGGACCTTATCGAAAAAGGAGAGCTCCTATGAGACAATATAATGTTGGAAGCCCGTTTGAAAGAATAGCTTTGGACATTGCTGGGCCATTTCCAGAAAGTGATAATGGAGGCAAGTACATGTTGGTAGTAATGGATTACTTCACTAAGTGGGTCGAGATTTACGCACTTCCAGACCAGAAGGCGGCCACCGTTGCAGATAAGTTGATCCAAGAATATATCAGCCGATTTGGAGTGCCTTTGGAGATCCATAGTGACCAAGGCAGGAACTTCGAAAGCGATTTATTCCAAGGAATATGTGATAGACTAGGTATGAAGAAAACAAGAACTACGGCTTATCATCCGCAATCGGATGGTATGGTAGAACGAATGAATAGAACAGTTGGCAAGTATTTGACAAAGATGGTGTCCGATCATCAGCGAGACTGGGACCAATATCTTCCGTTCTTCACAATGGCCTACAGATCTGCTGTTAATGAATCAACAGGCCAGACACCAGCCAGAGTCCTATTCGGACGCGAGATGCGACTACCTTGTGATCTAGAGTTTGGGTGTCGACCTGGAGAAGATGTAGCAGGTGAAGATTATGTGATCGAATTACGAAGAAGAATGGACGATGTACACGAGTTGGTCCGTTCCCATCTCCAAATCGCTAGTGACCGAATGAAGAAACGGTACGATACCCAAGCCGAAAAGGGGTGTTTTAAGAAGAACGATAAAGTCTGGCTTTATAACCCCAAAAAGCGAAAAGGTTGTTCTCCCAAATTGCAGCAGTTTTGGGAAGGTCCATACCTCATTATGGAGAAGATCAATGATGTTATTTACCGAATAAGCAAGATCCCGAGAGGAAAGCCGATGATAGTACACCATAACCGGTTGGCGTCTTTCGAGGGTGACCACGACGTAGATGAAGAAGTGGAAGTAAACCAAGTCCAAGATGTGTCTGACCTCACGTTTGAGGAATTCATGGGTGCCTATGGAGGTACCGGTAAAGCAAGACATGGTGTTACCACTGAAGAAAGGCAAGATCTACTCGCGCTTCCCGATGACTACTCACTGGCCCTTACCATCCCGGCCAGTATCAAAGATGCACCAGGGTTGGCATCCGTCTTTCGAAGGAAGTTTGGTCGAGTTGCAGAACTTCAATGCCAAGTGCCAGCTCCTGGTAAAACCTTGAAACTTCAAGATGCATCACGTTACCTTTTCTACCTGGTAACAAAAGACACTGCCCGTGACCAACCTACCTACCGAGATGTATGGGAAGCCTTACTTCAGTTGAGAGAGCATGTACTAGAGTCTGACGTGCAAAAGTTAGCCATGCCAAAGTTGGAGTGCCGCCAATTAGATTGGAGGGTTATCCGAAATATGGTGGAGGAGATGTTTAAAGACGCCGAAGTCCAGGTGTTAGTCTGTTGCAATCCGCATAGTTACTGGTGCGGAGAGAAAACCGTCCCTTGTCATTTCTATACAACTGGAAGTTGTAAAAGAGGGTCCAGTTGCCGATATCAGCATGTCGTTCCAGTTCCAGTCCCGACAAGGTTCCAGGAGGAACCATCTTTTAAGAGGGGGGCAATGTTACGATTTTAAATGTTATGGCATATAGAACTGTAAATATTTTATGACTAATTCTTTTTTTATTGATTCTCGTAATTTGTAGGTCAAAATTTACCTGAGCTTCGATACCAGTTGTTTACAGAAATCTCTAGACCCTAATTTTAGTGAGTCATCCACGTCTCGAGGTTGAAAAACGAGTCGAGCGCCTTCACCAAAATACGAGATTATTCCATAGAAGGCCGCCGAATTTTCGAGATGACAACAGTTGTGTATATAAACAACACATTTTTACATTGTGAGGTCAGTCATAAGAAGCTCGGGAACCGCGATATTTAAATGTAACGAAACATAAATTATTATTTGTAATATAAATTAGGATTAATAAAGACTTTAATAAATTCGTAATTAGTTATCGTGAGTTTTAATAAATTAGAATATAGACAATAAATTAGAATAAAGACAAATAAATTAGAACAATATAAATATATATCACAGTTGTTTTAAATGTCAATAAAATTTGTGTAAGTAGTTTTCTTTTTTTCATTTGACTTAACAGTCCGTAACAACTTGTTACATATAAAGTTTTATATTTTCTTTGATAATAGAGAAGATGATTTTTTATGAAAATATTGAGAAAAGATGAAGCTATCTTGCAATATTAATAAGATGTTGACATTTCTCTAAAACATTGCTATAGTAACTCCTTAGAAATATACTTATAATGTAAAACAAAAATCATTGAAATCCAATAAATGGTTCAGAAAAAATTGCTTCAAACTTATGGTAGATTTAAGATGGTGCATTAATTTTGGATAGTAGTGTATTTGATATAATCTGACATATGGTTCTTAAAATGTAGGAAATATAACAGATGTAGAATGTATTATCAAATTAGCAGACAGGAAAAGGAATAGCTGAATCCTTAATAAGATCAAAGTAAGAGATGTTTCAATGCAAGTCACATTTAAGCAGAAATTTTTTTCGATGCCCTGACAAAATCAGAACATAATGGTCAATACTGAACATTATACATTGATGATCATACAATCATTAATGTATATTGTCAAAACTCAAAACACAACACAATTGTAATAGTATATTACATAACGAGAGTTGTAAGAAGCTTATTACATGCGAGTAAAAAAGTTGCGCGCGAGCCGCGTAGCGGCGAGCGCAGTAATTTTACAAGCATGTAATAAGCTTACAACTCAAGTTGTGTACTATACTTTTTCTACCAAGATTTTTGTTTACAAAAATAAAAATTAAATTACCACTATATTTACACTGACAGATTAATAATTTTTAACCTGTCAAAACAACGCCTGTTAATTCGTTTCCATGGTAACTCGACCAACTGACTTACAAGGCGTATGTGATATTACACATTTTTATAGAACTGAAGCGTAATTTTTTTTATTACGTGCTAGTCATTACGTGTCAGTATCTGTTATGATGCATTTACTTAGCATCCAAATAGTAGGTAATATACAATTTACTAGTAAGAGAGTAGAAAAAATAAATGTATGTTGCTAAAAGAGTTGATTAAAGTGAGAGAAATGGAAAAACAAACATATAGTACCCAAAAGACTACAGTTTATGCATCACTAAAAAATATTAATTAATAAAACACAAAGAATGAGAAAAATACAATATACACATAAAATATATTTACACAAAAACTTTTGAAACAAAGTATTTTGTATGTACATAATAAGTACCAGTAAACAATGTACTTATGTTGTTAAGAAAACTAGAAGGATCTACTATCTTATATCAAGAAAATAAGATTTTGCTATCTTATTTTAGAATTAATAATCATAATATTGGAATGGTATTTAGTATACTGTAAATAACTAAATATTTTAGTTAAAAAAGTATTGTTTACTGATTGTCTAGATTTACCACCAAATTAGGCAATGATCTAAATCTAGATAAGTGTCTATTGCTCTGGAAAGAATAAATTGCATCAGCACCCTTCATTTCTATTGCGCGATATTTGTAGGTAGGTAATTGCAAAATATGCATACAAGTAAATGTTAAATAACAAAAGATAGGTGAGGTAAGGTACCTCACAGATATGTTGAACTTAATTATCAACTTTCACTTTGATTATACACTGAAACCAGTCAACTAATAAGTAGGTATGTTTTATTAACAAATAAATCAAGTTTATTATATAATATTGGCGCATTTTAAATGACTTAGTTAAAATGTGGGTACATGAGTTTTAACTGTACAGGAAACTAGATGAATGATACCGAAAATAAAAGATAATGCCAACAACTAATTATATCAGTAGGAAACATATGGGACTTAATTTACGAAAAACAAAATAATAAGATAAAACTTTTGCCATGTCAACACATTAATTCAAATTAAATATATATGAATTGTGAAACATGCATGTTAAGTAAATTATTTGACACTATTATAAGTGTATTAGATTATCATTCAATGTATTTTATAGAAAAATAGTTTATGTACACTTACCGCACATTGTGAACACGCTTTACACTTTAGTTACAATATCAAAGAAACCTCCTCAACCTATTTAAAAGTCAAACTAAACAATATTTTCGCTGTTTACGTTTTTATAACCAATAAACGTCATTGTCAAGATAAGCTGTCAAAAAACCAGTAATGCCAATGACAATATATTCAAATCAGATTCTATAAAATTATTTAATGGAAGTGTATATACAGCTGAATGAAACATACACTTTGCTTTTTATTTTTGTATTATTTTATTTTCAAAAACAGTTGACTGGATTATGGGAACAACAAAAAATAATAAAACCTGAATATTTAGCACATCTCAAATGAGTTTTATTAGATAGTTTTATTTTACGTTTCTGCCCTTTTTTATAGCAATGTCACGCAATGTAGAAAATATGTAGCATTTTTTACAAAAATATATATTAAGTTTATCACTGAAAAATAAGTTCTTTAGATGTGTTTCTTACAATTTCTATTCTAGATATATTTTCTTTTGTCAGATTTTGCCTCAGATAATTTACATTTCATGAATGTTTTGAAAATATAAATATTTTTGTTTTTAGGCTTATTTCTAGTCTATAGTATTCATACCTGTTGTATACAAAATAAGTAGCAATACGCATTGTAAGTCGTTCAAGTCGTCTGCAAAAAACTTTCTTCAAAATGTACGTTCTTTCCATGGAAATTATTTACCAGCACATCGGACGAAGTAGTCACTCCTTAGTTTCTAGGAATGAAATATTTGACAGAATGTTTGTATTATAACCTAAAAATATCTTGTTATTGAAATAAATCAATTCTTGATAAAACTAATTCAATTAAATTTGTTATTATTATTAGATAAATTATTAGAAGCAATCAATGGCTACATTAGAAGATAAAATTCTTGGTGAAAAAGCTCAGTACTATTGTAGTAGCAGTGAGGAAAGTGATAATGACCAAAATGATGATGATGATGAACCAAACAAACCCCAAAAGGAAGTTGAAAGTGCTGAACTTCCAGATATTAATAAATGGGAAGGTAATATATTTAAATAAGTCAAAACTTTTATTTTATAATATGAACATACTTTTAAGGAACTTCTACAAACACTGGACCAAAAGGAGTAATAAAAGACTGGCAGAGATACAAACAGTTGGAGAATGAAAAGAAATTTGAAGATGAAACTGAAAAGATCGAATTGATGAAAAAACTAACATTAACTGTAAGGACATCATTAGATGAAGAAAGAGAAAAAGCTGCTTTAGAAGATCCTGAGTTAGCTGAGTTACTTAATGATGACTTTTTAATTGCTTATCAAAAGCAGAGAATGCAAGAGATGATTCAGAATACAAATTATAATTTTAAATTTGGTAAGAATTCTTAAACAATAATTTTATTATATTTGAGGGTAATTGATGACTAGTTCCTTTATTGAATAGATTTTAAGTGTTTTTGTATAATGTACATCACATTTTTTTATCTAGAGAGATTTTCTAGTTTTTCTGGATTTTTCTAGATTTTCTGTGATTTCCATGTTTATCTACAATCTTTTATGGTAATATAATGTTTGATGAAGGAGGATAGTAAAAGTAGATATATGGCTTAAACCTAAATAAGGGACATTAAATCTGATTTTATTTTGAAGATACAGACAATCAATATTACTATTTATAATTTTAAAAATCAAAGCCACAACTGAAATATCCTGCCTAATACTGAGTAGTGGCAATCCTAGTAGTTGCTGGGCATTAGTATAATCATGATCTACAACACCATTATGAGTTCTAAATGCATAGTATTTCTCAAAAACATGTGGTGAACAGCATCTAATATATCAATATGATATTGAAATTAGGATGACCTACACAACAATATTCCAAGATGGATCTTACAAGGCAACAATAAACTAATCTAGTTGTATTAATAGAACAATACTTACAATTTCTTGTGACAAACCCAAGTAATTTCTAAGCCTTATTATATCAAGTTGATATGCTCCACCAAATCTAAAGTAACTCCTAAGTATCTAATGGAAGAGGCATTCTTCACATGTTCAATAGGCAAGTCATAATTAATCCTTCATTATGGTTAGCACTTAAGTTGTCTATTTCTTATTTCGAAAGTATATAGCTAAACCATTTTACGTTACTAAAGTTAGCATAGTGTTTTTCAAAGTATTCTTGTTAGTTCAAAATGACTGGTGATGATCAGCCAGAATGTTCACATGCTAAATAACCATAATGGCTTATTGGAAATAAATAATGCCTCATAAACGAGGAACTTGAATACTTACTTTCTCACTCAGATAGTGAGGAAGAACTTATAGAGGCCCAAGAAGATGACCAGAGTGATGAATCATTCGATAATGATTTCGGTAAGTGTGCTATTCTTAGGCATAAATAAGTTAGGTGCATGTGATTGTTTTTCTAGCTGACAACAATTATGAAGGAAAAAATATTGATCAACATCAATCAAATACTGAAGAAGTTGGTATAGGTGAAAACGTAAATTTAAGTAGGCAAAATCAGATTATGTGGGATGATAAAACCAATCCACTTTCCATGGCTAGAAAACTATTAGCGGAAAGACCAGAAAACAATACTCCAATCAATTATTTCGTCTTCTCATTGCTGATGAGAGTTTTTTTAACTTGACTATGGATGAAATACATAAATATGCTGAAGAAATTTTCTTGACTACATGTGATGAAAAATCTCGAATAAGAAGATGGAAATCAATTACAGTTTTTGAACTCAAAGTATTTCTAGGGTTACTGCTCCATATGGAAACATGGAAAACGAATCAAATTAATGATTATTGGAGGACTGATCCGCTTTTTACTTTAAGATGTTTTCATGGCAATATGGGTTGGGATCGGTTTTTGATTATTCTTAGAGCTCTACACTTTGTTCAAAACCCTTCTGAAGGTGAAGTTATTCAGGACAGACTTTATAAGGTTCGACCTATATTAAATTATTTTAATAATAAGAAGCATTCTATTTATCAATCTGAAAAGAATTTTTGCATAGACAAAACAATGCTTTTGTGGTGACTAACTTTCAAATATTTCGTCAAGAACAAAAGATATAAGTACAGTTTAAGTACAGCTTAAGCTGTATGCAGTGGCGGCTTTTCTTTATGTGCTGCTGAGCTGCAGAACTACCAAACAACCATAGCAAATCTTAATTATTAAAGAATAATTAATATAGTTTTATTTCAAATCTGCCATATTATCATATTAAACATAAACTGTTAATAATAATTCACCAACAACGATGATTAATATTATTTTTTTTACGTATTTACTCCTCTAGTGAAACCGTATAATTTTTTTACGTATTTGGTGCTCCAGTGAAGCAATCTTTTTACGTATTTGCTGCTCCAGTGAAGCCGCGTCGATAACAACCGAAACACTGGCAGCGGTAAAATGCATTTATTAGGCAAACGGCGATCTTAGCCGATGTGCTTCGGCAATCGGCTGATTAACGGCCTCGGAAATGTGTTTGCGAGCTGCAATTCACGACAGTTATTCGTGACCGTTGCATCTGTGCCGTGTTTAGAAATTCTTAGGTTACAATTTTGTTTAATTTGTTTTGTTCGAGCGTGTTTAAAACAATGGAGTTTCAATTTAAATTAGGTGTAAATAAATTTCAAAAACTTCACTATCAACAACAGTTGATTATAAAAGAACGTGGCCGTCCTATGCCTGATCTTAATATTGAAGTGTCCGGTAAAAGCCGTGGAAAAACATATACGCGTAAATTTAATAAAGACATGTATCTACGAAATCAGTGGATTTGTGGATGTTCCGAAAAAAATGCTTTTTTCTGTTTTCCGTGTGCATTATTCGGCGCAGATAAAGAGGAAAAATTGTGGCGCGAGACAGGAGTGCGGGATCTAGTGCATTTAAGTGAAAAAATAAAGAAGCATGAAAACACGCAAACTCATATGAACAATGAAATGCGATTTGCATTATTTGGGAAACTTAATATACAGGCCCAACTTGACTCTGCTTATTGGATAAATATACAAAAACACAATGAAGAGGTGACGAAAAACAGGTATGTTTTGTCAAAAATAATTGACTGTATAAAATTCTGTGGGGTTTTGAGCTCGCCTTACGAGGACACGATGAATCTGAAACATCAGATAACCCTGGAATTTTTCGTGGTTTAGTGAATTTTTCTGCTGAACTTGATAAAACACTTAGTGAACACCTTACAAATGCGACAATTTTCAAAGGTACCTCAAAAACAATACAAAATGATATTTTGGATTGCATGCTAGAAGTATACGCTGAGGAGATTTTAAACGAAATCAATGAAGCCCCATTTTTAGCAGTGATAGCTGATGAGACAACGGATGTTTCTATGAAATTTCAAATGGTCATTGTTTTTCGTTATGTAAAAAACGGTGCTCCAGTTGAAAGGTTTTGGACTTTTTTGCTTCCAGAAAAACATGATGCTGAAACCTTAGCTAACACAATTTTGAATGTTTTAGACCCAATATTAAAGAATAACAAAAATAAGCTCATTGCACAAAGTTATGACGGAGCAGCTGTTATGAGTGGGATACATGGCGGAGTGCAAACAATAATTAAGAGAAAATATGAAACTGCTCATTTTGTGCACTGTTACGCCCATCAATTGAATCTAATAATGTCAAGAGCATGTTCTATTAATTCCCAAGTACGCGTATTTTTTGGAGATTTACATGATATACCTGGATTTTTTAGTCATTCACCTCAAAGAATAGCTGTCTTAAATCAAATAGTTGGAAAAAATATTCCTCGTTTAATCCCTACACGCTGGAATTTCAATATTCGTACAGTAAATGTCGTTTACGAATATAGAGACTTTATTATTGAGTGTATGGAGCAACTAGAAGAAGAGTCAAATGCTATTACTTCCAAGGAAGCAAGAGGACTTAGACGTATTCTGGAAGATCAAAATTTTACTTTCTGGCTGACTGTTTTTCATTATATTATGCCACATGTTGACGTTTTGTACAATAATCTTCAAAAAAAGAACATGGACCCAACCGAAGCACAGAAAGCTATACATGTTTTTGAGCAAAGTATTAACAATGTCCGAAATAAAATAGACCCTATCATACATCAAGCTTCAAATTTAAATGCGGCGCCTAGTGTCCAAAAAAGGAAACGCCCAAATAACAGCCAACAGGATCACCGTATTGCCTGTCTAGAAGTTTGTGATGTTATTATAAACAATGCAAAAGAACGGTTTGCATATACAAATCATCTAGTTGCCGCAACACTTTTATCTTCAGAACATTTCGAAAAATATAATAATAAGTTTCCTGAAAATGAATTGGATTTAACTTGTACAGCTTATAACTTCTTTGATAAAAACCGTTTGCGAACAGAACTGTCAGTTTTGTATTCCAATATCGAGTGTAGAACATTAAAAGGTGCAGTGCCTTTACTAAAATTTATAATTTCTAATAATTTAGAGGACACATTAACAGAAACCAAAAAGTTGATACAAATTCTGGTGACTACGCCAATGACCACAGCAGAAGCTGAACGTAGTTTTTCAACTTTAAAACGGATCAAAACATTTTTAAGAAATTCAATGTGCGAAGACAGATTAACAGCCCTTTCCACACTCTCGATAGAAAAAAAGTTCATCGCTTCAATACCGAACTTTAACGATAAAGTAATCGAAAAGTTTGCGACAAAAAAGGACCGGCGTATTAATTTCCAATTTAGAAAAATGCAATAAATGTAAGTTAATCAGATTTTTATAGCATGTCGTTATTAGTTACTATTAATTAGTATTAAAGCTAATTTTATTGTTTTTGTTTTCGTATGTTATTCTATTTCTATTATTTTATATTGACCGTGGTTCATGCAGCACACCCTATAGCAGATGTCACGAGCCGCCACTGGCTGTATGGTTTAACTGAATCTGATGGTATCATTTTAAACATGCATGTATATACTGAATCACAAGATTCCTTAGGTGAAAAAGGTCACTTGATGAAAGTTGTTTGTAAATTGATGAAAAACTATCTCGGATATGGCCACTCACTTTTTGTAGGTAACTTTTATCCTGGAATTGAACTTGCTAAAGCACTTCTAAATAAATTATAAGGACCCTCAAGAAATTAATAGTGCTCAATTACTATCTGGTGGTATAATTGGAAAATACCAGAAGAGTCTTTTAGTTATGGAAAGTTTAGTTAGAAAATGGAGAGATAAGAGACCAATCTTATATCTGTTCACAGAATTAAAAACAAAATGATCAAATTCAAAAACAAAAGAGGTAAAAAACTAACAAAACCTTTACCAATTTTTGAATATAATAAGTATATGGGCAGCCTTGATTTTAAAGATCAGATGCTTGCTTATTATTCATGTGACAGGAAAAATGTGAAATGGTATAAAAAAAACTATTCATACATATATTTCAAGTAATGGTTTATAACACATGTTGTTTATTTGTTAAATTCTACAGAAAGACAATGCCACTTTAACTTTCATTTACAAATAATTTACATCACTACTTAACAAAACAGCTGTACCAACCAAAACAAAAGGTAGTCGCCAACATATTTCAACTAAAATACTTTTAAAAATGCAAAGGGTGAAACTTAGAAAAAGAGACGTAAGGTTTGTGCAACAAAAAATATTAGATGAGATACTGCATACAAGTGTACCAAATGTTTAGATAGACCTAGTCTCTGCATTGGGGAGTGCTGTACTTTATATCACTATGTGTTTTAATAATTCGCTCTAGTTTGTTAGTTTATAAAGAATAATAAAGTTTTTCTGAAAATGCAATACATTTTTTTCTACAAAATTAAAAACGTGGAAACATATACAAACTATTACTACCTCAATACTCACATCTAGGATCTGTGCTTTTTTACATGCGCACTTACAGTCTGTCAGATATGTCTAAAATAATTAACTAATTAAAAAGATGTTTAGTACCTGCATGAACCAAGTACATTCCAGTTCGCAATTAATGTGTTAAGAGGTTGCTCATCAATGAAATAAGTTGTACCAATCCTGTTCACCTTTCAGGTAAAACTGATATAACAACATTTACTAACATTTTAATGAAAACAATTGTTGGACTTCCAAGATTCTAAGACCCTAACCTGATTTTTCTAACCTGTAATGGTGTTTCTCTGAAATACTCCTCACCCAGAAATTTAAACGGAGGTTGTTTGCTTTTAGAACATTTTAACTCAGTAGATGCCATAATTTCAATCCAATTTTTGTTATATTGGAAAAGGTCTTTTCATTATTATGTCTTGAAAATATTTTCAGATGTTTGATGCTTGAATGACTTTTCTATCAGCATCACACATCTGCACTATTTGACTAACACACCACCAATGCAATTAACATGCAGTATTACCCCACATCTACTTACATTTACAGGCTACAGACCTGTACTGTAAGGACTGATCTGTAAGCTAATCTGTTATTGCTGAGACAAGGGATAAAACTATGCAATACCCATAAACATTTCCATATTGATAAAATATCAATTCATTTTAGGTGATCTCATTTTTCTACAAAACGGACAAGAATTCCTAGATGCAATTGACAAAGAGCACAAAGCAGCCACTATCATTATTCACATATATGAAGACACAGAAGCATGTAGGACCATGAATGTCTGCCTTAAGTCTCTTTGTAAATTATATGTTAATGTCAAATTTTGTTGTATAAAGGGTTCTGCTGCTGGTATAAGTCAACAGTTTAAAGCTGATGGTGTGCCAGCATTATTGGTGTATAAGGCAGGGAACCTTGTTGGAAACTTTATAAGGTACATATATTTTTGTTATAGTTAGCAGAATTATTATAAATAGAATTGTTGTTTTTCTAAAATTTATTGGTAAAATATGATCAATTTTAAAGAAACCTTTATTAGTATTAACATTATGAAACAAATATTGTTTTAAATCCATAGTGAAATAGAGATTTGAAGATGCAGGTATTTTAATAACATATTTTATTTATTGGCAGTTTCTAAAATTGGTTTTTTATAGGTTATCAGATGAACTTGGATCGAATTTCTTGTCAGAAGATGTCCAGAATTATTTGGTCGAACATGGGTTACTAGAAGATAAATCATGCACTCCTAAATTGGTCTCCAGCACTGATAATACTGTTGACAGTGACTGAAATGCAGATTGGAAACATGAGTACTGGTACACTTCTCTTCAAATGTAACAAAGAGACAACATAGTAATCCGATCTTAAGTTAGCATAACCATATATAATTTTTTGACAGCTGTGCTTTAAAAATGTGTTTGAAGATGATCCGTAAATTTGTGCCATATTGGAAACTATTAGAAATTCGTGTATACAAATTTTATACAAGTGTATACAAGGATCGCAATCCTCATTTTTAAGCATATGTGTATATTTCACAATGACAATGAATTGACCAATTATCTGCATTCCATTTCATATTGAATATGGTTATTTATTATATATTTTATTGAATATGAATGATAACATTTTTTTCCAATAGCTTTGAAGACCTTTAATAATGAAACATTTCCCCCCACTAATTAATTATAATGAAAAAATTGGCTTTCGTTACTTTTTAAATCCCTAAAGTAGTTTAAGCTTATTAATTTGAATTTAGATTTCTTCAGAACCATTAAAATTCTCGTTAACGTATATAAGTAAATAGTCATTATCATTCTCTTTGTATTTATCCTCAGGCCCGTCAGTTTACTTAATTATATTTACAAGACAACAAAGTAATAGGTAAGTATAAGGTAATGTGGTAGATTTTAGTTGGAACGTTGTACATCACTCCAAAGATGTTATGAATATCCATTGAAATCCTTATTTTCGTACTGATTCGATCCGAGAGCCTTGTTTACATATTTATCCACACTGTCAGTAGCGCAGCGGTAACTATTCGGTGCCGTTAATTATATAAAAAGCATAATTATGCTACTGTCCAGCTTTTCGGATACACTCAGCACATGCCACATGCGCGAGGCTATATCTTCCTAGGTGGTGTTTACTATACACCGATGCCTGCCGACCGAGCTACTACACTTGGCCGGGAGCCAAGAACAGTTGACTACATAGGATAGTTCCATCGCCCAATTTTGTCTGTCACTTTAACACGCGGCTGTGACGTAGGTGTGGGGATGACAAGCAATTATCGACCTTATTGTTACTATTAAGTTTTATGGAAGATGAGCCTAATTTGAGATTTAAAAGTTTAAAACGAAAAATTTACGTTTTGTTTTTGTAAATAGATGGCAGATAATAAGATTTTTGACAGTACCGAAGACATTCAGAGTTATAAATTCTTAATGATCTGTTTTACATGGCAAATAAAATGCCATGTAAACCACAAATTAATATCCAAAAACATTTGATGATAAATAAAACTATTCAATACTGAACTATTTATTTCATAAACATACATAGGTAAAACTAAACAGTATACAATACTAGGATACTTTAGAAACATTCCCTACCGAACAATTTTATTTAATTTTCTCATTTTTGACCTAGTTGAATCCAACACAGATAAGTTTTTTCGCTTCAAATTTTCAGCTTCCTTGGATTTTAAATTTCTATAATTTATTCTTATTATTGTTCTAAGTTTACAAAAGTTTTTAATAAGAGTATATGGCAACACTTTTTCTTTTTTTAAAATTCTCTTTGAAATGTTTCCAACAACTCCATTATTTTTCCTATAGGTATGAATATATTTTTCGTAATATTTATTCCATAATTTTATTTTTATGAACCACTCATCTGTAGGCTTGATAAGACCTCCATAAGAGAGTTGCTGCACCCATGATGGTAAACTATAACTATGTTCACTAACTTTGTATGTGAAATTACCTAAATCAGGCAAACTATCTTTAAATTTTTTTGCTAAATACCCAGCGATGTGTTCTAAGGCATCTTCTGTAGTTTCCTGCAAATCATTGACAACACAATATGAGGTGCCAGACTGATTCGAAGATGATTCTTGGGAAGAGAAAGAACTGCTATTGTTACATTCATCAGGTTCTTCTATTTGTTCTTGAGGAATTTTAAGATTAGCTTTTTGGAATACTTTTGGACTAATATATTGATCCACACTTTGTTCAACTGTGTTAACAGCAGCATCAAAAATACCAGGGTTTTTTCCTAGAAGTATCATTCGAATTCTGTGGAGTGCTGCTAATGGACTAGGATGTTCATCAGGACCACCTCGATGCCTAACTTGGAAAAAGAAATTTTCTAAAGAATCTTGATTGAGTCTATGTGTACATATATATTTAATATCAAAAGCTTGTTTCATATCAACAAATAACTTTTGTAAAGATTTCATTGATAACACCATTCCTTTTTGAAAAATTTGCAAAGTATTTTTACCAAGAGCTTTCATTGAAGATATTAAATTTATCATTTTGTTAAGATGTTCATTTTGCATGTTCAAATGAATTCCATAAGCACTTTTAGAAGGAACTGTTCCTTGTGGTGTATAACTATTGAATATATCAAACCATAAATTTACATCAGCGATGAAATTACCCAAATTTTCGGCTAACTGTTCATTCCCAGGTTTATGTCTCTTAAGAGCTGTTGCAACAGTATTAGACAAAAGCTGAGCAGCGATTCGAACATTCTGTCTCTGAGATTTTTCACATTCAATGTGTTTTTATTAATTTTCCAACACTGATTAACCTCTTGGTCAGTACAAGCAATTAAAGATTCTAAAGAATTTTTGATAATAACAGTACCATCCTCTAATTGAAAACCAACATCTAGTAGCCAGTTTCGTAAGAGTTTTAATAAATGTGGGGCATCTGCAAACATATATACATTTTGATCAGTATCAGGATGTTTGAAAAATGTTTTATCTACACTAACTCCAAGTTCTTTCCACAAACCAATATTTGAAGCACCACAATCACTAACACCAGCAACCACGTTATATGAAATGTTATGAAGTTCCTTAATTATTTCTATTAATATTCCAGCTGTCATTTTTTGGTCAAAATTGATATACATTGGTTGTTTCCAAGAAGCAAAAAGACCTCTAATCATAACTACCTGCATTTGCTTGTGTGGACCCAAAATTCTATCTTTAGTAATGTCATACTCTTCAATAGATTTTATTTTCACTTCATCGAATTGCAGCACAACAGTCTTTTCCATAGTCGTAAAATTTTCCCCAGCCAATTTCATCATTAACAATATGTCTTTCAAAAGGCCTTCACTAACACTAATCTTAGAAGCCCACTTTCTTAAAGATGAGAAAGCAGGTAGAGGATATCGCAAAGAATTTTTTAAATAGAGGTAACTTTTCTTACTGTAACACCTCAGAGTAAAAGCTCGAGATATTTCTTCTGTATTCCAACGAACTTTCTTCTTTTTTTCAGAAAGAAGTGCAATTTGGTTTGTGGTTAACACTTTACTTAACAAATTTTCAGCAAAAATTTCAGATTTTTTTGATTTTTTCTGAACATTCATATTTTTTGCTTTAAAATACCTCAACTGACTTGTTAAACTTTTTATTTTCATTTGACTCTTTTTCTTCAAATTGGAATGATCAGCTATTAATTTTTCATACTTGCTTAATAATTCTTTGTATTTTGCTTCAAAATCTACTTCAGGCTTTAAATCTATATTGTCACCAGCTTGTTCAAAAGTTACTTCAGATTCAGTAATTGTATGTTCATGTTGATTAGATGCAATATTCAAAATATTTGAATCAACCTTTGTAATTTCTGCTACAAGCTGCTTTCTGTTTCTAACATCTAATCTACATTCACGAGTAAAGATAGGTGTGTCAAAGGTATGTTTATATAAACAAAGTGTTGGAACTGCAGTTTTCTTCAAAAGGCGTTTAGTAGGTAAACCTAAAATAAGTTATGTTAAAAAAATTTTATAGCCATTATTTTTTTACCATTTTACCTAATAATTCATTTTGTAGATCTCTTTCATAGTCATTGTTTGTAAAATGAACAGCATATTCTACTAGAATCGGGATTAAAATTATCAGCTCTTCTGCATCGGTTAATCCATTCAGCCCTTATAGTTTTCGATACTAAATCCTTTCCTTTTGGAAAACTATGAAAAATAACAGGCATATTCTTGGTTTTCACACTCTTAAAATTATTAGAACCATATATGGCACATCTATTTACACCCATTTTGTTTATACAAGTAAACTGATATATAAACAATAATTAAATACTGTTATAAGGCCGTTAAATCGCTAATACAACAAAAAAATTGGCAGCAGACACAACTATCCCATATAAAACAATAAGAAATGTCAACCACGAATCCCCACGCCTACGTCACACTCAACACAACGCATTTCTTACATTAGAGCATAGGACAAAATCAATCCTATCTGTTTAGTGTCCTTGGCCAGGAGCTATCTGAATGTTTTGTGTCCGTGGCATCAGATACCAAAAATAGATTTCCCCCGCCATTTGCCTGTCTATGGTCTAAATCTAACAAGAAGGCACAAGAAGAAAAGATTAAACAATCAGACACCTAGTGGAACGATGAGAATTGAAAGCATACCGAGGAGGTTCACAGGCCTTTTTCACTATTACCTACTATTTTATATGTTTTTATACTTGTCTTACATTTGGTTTATACTTATTTTAAATTTGATCTCTTTATTCGACGATTATCTGTTATATATTGTTTTTATCTCTCATATTCACGTAGTAAGCATCGTGATAGACCCTCACAGATGTTAAGTTTTACACTATTACTGTATGGTTATGCTAATATTATAAGAATCGAAAATAATACAACTCAAAATAAGTCTGACTCGTGTTCGCTTTTTACTGAATGTATTTATATTACTTAAAAATAAAACTCAGAGGAAACTTTTAGATACTTAACTCGATTTTTAAAAATGTACACTATTACCACTCCAATTGATGTGTGACACACTGTTATGTATTACTAGAAGTATTCACTTTGTACGTAAAATTAAGCAACAATATATATGTGAAATGCAATCAGTATTATTGTACTAAAGGCGTGTACAAAAAATAACATCACGTGCCAATATTCCAATTTGTGGGATGTTTACAACATAGGTTTTCAAGAAAAGTTGCTAATTTATCCAAAATTAATCTGAAATATTCTTCTGGATGATCGACATATTACTTTAGTCTATATTTGCTCCGTAAGTGTCTATGGCGCCACCTATCTCTTCGTTTATTCGCATTACTGGGTATATTTTACTAAATTGATTTATGTGGAACATATTAGACATATAAAAACGGCATGTGGCACTTGGGGAGTACCTAGAGAAGTGAATACTTCTTATAGGGTTTTATTACTATGTGGGTTAATGAGATTTTATTTTACCAAATATTTTAAAATCAAAATTAGCCAAATCGATCCGGTCGTTCTCGATTTGTTATAAAAGTATAAAATAACATGTGTTAAAGGTCATTTTATTTTTGTAATAAGTGTGTTACGTATATTACTGTCTACCGCAAGGTTACTGCACGCGTCTCGATTTTTCGAGTCACGCTAAATATGATTTCGAGCCTGTGCAGAAACATCATACCGAGCGATAAGAAGTATTCACTTAAATAAATAATTAAACATCATCATCGCGGTGCTACAGCTCTTAAATGGCCTCAACATTCTCAAGCTTTTTGTGCAATTCTACTCTGTCCCTTGTTTATATTTTACAGTTGGCAACTTTTTATTAATAATTTGTTTTTATTATTATTGGAAATATTTAATTTGCTCATGAATATTGGACAAAAATCAAAAAATAAGTAACAAAACTCCATAAACTTTTTTTCGTCTTTATAGAGGGGAGTCTGGAATCTTCAAAAGACATCTCAGTCCAGGACGCCGCCTGACTAACCTTACTGCAGGATTCGTTCTTTGTACTCCCGGCGATAGTTACCGAGGTATTTTAAAATGCCCTCTCGTCGCCGAGTCTACGCCGAACGCCTACCTGCTAAACCAGACCCTCCTACGTCACCCAACGATCCGAAAGCGGAATGGTCGCTGTAAGGCCGGCATCACTTCCGAAGCACTACCTTTATTTATTCATTCTCCATTCATACACATCCACACTCTATTCATCAGCAAGGATGCTCCCTGTCTCGTTCCAGGTAGCGCGTAGAGGACACTCATCGCTCCTAGTTCGGCATCATTCCCAGACGGGCATTTCCTCCTTCCCCACAGTCTGACTCACGCATTCTAACTCACACAGTGTGACCCACTTTTCTAGCTTCACCTTTCAGCATCATTCACTCTTTCCTTTGCCGTTCGTCCAGTGTCTTTCTTCCTCTTCCTTATTCTTGATTACTGCACGGATATAGCTGTGTATGTTAGTCCAACCTAATTTATTTTCAATCATTTCTCTCACTGCAACAAAATTCACACATGTCTCTCTCTCCATTCTGTTCCTTTCCACTATCCATCTGCTGCAATCTAACATCGTATGTGTCACAGTGTCCGAGTATCCACAGTATAGGCATTCATCTATCAGCCTTTCCGATCCTATAGAGGTAGGCCCTAAAACACTCGTTTCCTGTGAGCACCTCCGTTAGGAAATAATCCAGTCGCCTGTGGCCACAATCCACCCAATCTCTTATGTTCGGGATCAGCATTTTCGTCCACTGTGCCACGTCCTCCGCGTTGTTCCATTCTTCTTGCCATCTTTCAACTGACCTTTCCCTTTCCTGTCTTCCCTCGGCCACAGTAAGGTTTGGGCCTCTTCTCTCATGAAGCTCTTTTCTTTCCACCACCAAAAAATGCTACGGAACAGATCCAGTGATGGTCCATAAGGCTGCCGCATACACAGTCCTGTAGGCGCATGCCTTCCGGACCCCCTCCAGCACGTGCTCCCCCCATTTTTCATTCCTGGTGCAATGTCATCCTAGATATTTTACTTGTTTCTTGGGTGTTAGACATGCTCCCGCACATTTTAATTCAATACTTTGCCTGTTCCTTGTCCTCTTCAGAATGATGGCTTTGGTTTTCTCTGTCGCATTTCGTAAACCTAATTGCGCCAAATGTAGACAACTTCACAAGGAGGCTCTGAAATTGTTTTCGTGTGGCATGTTTAAGATATGTTCAATATGAGTGGATGCTTACCTACCCTTTGACTCGACCTAAAAAATCATTTGAGGCTTATCCCTAGAACAGTTATTCTGAACCTGTGGGTGACGCGCTATTACTAATAGGGTGGGGGGAGTAAGAATATCCGAAAAATAAACACCAACAACGTTGATACTACTAAAATCAAAGCCAAAGAAAATTCTGACAAAATAAAATACACATGAACACTGATATAATAGGTACTTATAAAGATTTAAAGTACTACGCATGAACTTATCAATACTAAATTGTGAACAAGTTTAATATATATTAGTGAGTTCATTGGGTCTGTTTTGCAGAGCAAAGTTTATAGAATCAGGGTGTAATATTAGACATAGAGGCGCTCAGTTCTTTTATATATTTAGCTGCGATCTATATTTGGTCTTCAAAGCAGCCACCGCGGAAAATGCAAAGGTAGGATATTGAAAACGGTAATCGTATACGGAACGCTTAGGTTTTCAGTGCAAAAAACTTATCATTTACCCCTGCCCAAAATTCAAAGAGAGATTTAATATTAAACGGTTTGTTGATTTCATCAGTTGCCGTGAAGTCTATGAAAGTTTCTTCTTCGGCAGTAGAAAGCCTTTCGGGTGTAATTTGAAACGGATTCCTAACCCACTCACTAACTAAGTAATAATTTGTCGTCGGCAAAAAAATCTTTTAAAAATTTTTGTCAGCATTGCTAAATTAGTTTCAATGGTTACAAAAACACGTTTCACGTGTTGTTCTTCAACCTTGTAAGTTTTAAAATATTCATCCATATTTGCAAACATTTCTAGGTTTTCTTGCTTTAAATTTCTGTTCCACAATTCAAATTTTCTACAAAAAGCATTAACTTTATCACTCGTATCCAATATATGTGTATTGACTCCTTGAAGCTGAAAGTTCAAAATATTTAGTTTCTCGAATATGTCACCAATTATCAATTTCATCAAAAATAAATCATCTCGGCTTCCAGTATATTTTCTACTTGTAGAAAAATGCACGTTGTAAAAATTTCCCACGTTAAAAAAAACTTTCTCCCTCTATCATTTGATAGAGGTATAGATTCTAATTGTTTGGCAAAGTTATCTCCAAACATAGTTTATACTCATGGTACAATGAACACAAGGTACATAATGTTCCAAAATCGCATCGGGGTTACATGAGACAGATAATAGAATAGAAAATATGGCGAGTCAAGAAGTACTTAAAAGTTTACAATAAGTCAGAAAATATCAATAACAATTAAAATTTCTTGAAATTACATAATTCGCCAATATCACAAAATAAACGATAATAAATATTTAAATTTTGCAATAAACTATTGCAAAATTTAAATAAATTGCTAATTGCATAAATAAACCTTGCGAACTAATGAGTTGAAGTTGCTATATATGTTACCCAAATATAGATAAAAATATTTCAGTTACTTGTACATAAAGGAACTGCAATTTCTTAGTTATTCATTAAGAAGCTCTTCTACTAAATAATATGGCTCTTTCAAATAGATAGGCTTTTCTCATTTTACGGAACTTGGGGAACGATGTTGCAGATTTAAGTTGTAAAGGGAGATGGTTATATAGTCTTTTTGTCGAATATAATATAGATTTTTTTAATAACTAAGAGGACGGAATCGGTAAATAAACATCAAAGGTTGAATTTCTGGTGGAATATAATGATTAGGTGATGCTGGAAAAACATTGCTATTTTTTGTAATTTAAAATTAACATCAGATTGGGCAACTGTACTAGAACCCCCAAAAAGGGAGATCATATCGCAGATGAGACTTGAACAAAGAAAAATATGTTGTTTTGGAAGACGCCAAATTGATTTCCTTCGAAACAGATCTTATTGCATAGCAGGCTGAGGCTAGTTTCTTATTTAACAAATCGATATGAAGGGACCATTTAAGATTGTTATCTATAAAAATACCAAGAAATTTTACAGAAACATGTTATAAAGCTTTAGACTAATATATTCAGATAAGTTCTAGCTCTTCGTTAATCTACAACATGAAAGATATGTACTGGAGTTATTTCTAGTTGCATAACTATGCACATCATTCAGTTTATCCAAATGTTTTTGAAAACACCTATGTTTTACATAAAACAAACATTCAAAAATGTAACAACATAGCAGAACTAAGATTTACAAAACAAAAATACTACTATACACTATAATAAAATAAAAAGCAACTAAACACCACAGGTACTTTGCAAGACACTATAATGCTTTAACTGAGGGAAAGGCGCGGTAAATTGCTACAATGTCAAAAAAAGTTACACTATCATTACAAATAATGGGTCTTAGGGATTTTTGCTACGCCAAACGCCTGGTTCAGCTGTCAAATGTCATGCGCCATCTCATACCTTCGCGTTGTTCATTGTACCATGGTTTCTACTATTTCAATTGCAGTGGCAAAATAAGCTCTTCGCCAATAGTGTGAAGCTTTTTACATCTAGCTAGTTGATATTGAGACTTGATAAGAGGCAAGTAAAGCTTTTTCATTCACATTCAAAAGTTTTTTTTTTAATTATTTTTGCTTTTCGTATGATTTTAATTTTAACTCGAAGAATTCTCGGAGTTTGTTTATGTACTCACTATGAAATGTTTAAATGTCTTTTAAGTTTATTAGGCTGCTAAAATGTATGAGCAAACGAAACACAGAGTTCTTTATTTAATTCAGTAAAGGTAAACCAAAAATTTAAGTTTCTTGAGAATATTTTCTTGATTTTATTTTTGGAACACTCTCGCCTGTGCCCTTGTTGATACTTCACTAGTA